CGAGGGGGGAGTGGGGGAGCTGCAAAACTTCGACTTAAAACTTACTCACAATTTTCTTCGAAAACATATGTGGGTTTCACAAAACTGTTTTTACGAGAAAATTACCCGAATTGATACTCGCCGTTTAAATTCATATCAAGCTTACAAGGAAGTCTCGGTAAAAGTAGAAAAAGCTTCAAAAAGTTCATAGGCTTTTGAGCCCAAGTTATAATCGTTTTACACGATTTTCAACCTGCAATTTTTCTCATAGATAGTTTTAATGATCTGTGCAATAATCCTGAAAGTTCCAGTCGAAAAGAACGTTCATATATCGAGATAATGAATTTCCAAGTAAACTCGATTTTTGTGACAAACTTCTATTTTTTCGACGCTTTTTTTCTAAATGTTCCACACGCATTATGCTAACAAGTTTATTCTGAAGATATTACCTTCATTATCAGATTCTTGTTCATCATTTAATTTTGTTTTTTTAATTTTTTCTATTATTAATATTTTTGGCATTGATATATCATGTAAATTTTCATTATAACGATTTTAAATAATTTTATTTTTTCTCTAATATATTGAAAAAGTCATTTTTTTTTGTCTTTTAATAAATTGTATTTGATTTAATAATTCATATGGTATAATATATCTTGATGGATGACCATAATTTTCAATACTATGTAATGGTTTTATTGACATATTTAAATTACATTTTGTTTTATGAAATGTTGTTGATAACGTTGTTGTTAATGTTGAATTTATATTTGTATCAAAATTTGATGATAATAAATTCGGACCACGTTTACGAATATTATTTTTACGTTTTTGTGCTAAATGTCTTGTATATGAACGTTTAAGTGAAACATCAATTGGAACACGTAATTCACAAACAGCTATACAACAATGATTTGCTTGACGATTAAGTAATTTTAATATACATTTATTATTATATGGAAATTTCCATGATTTATGTAAAAATAAATATAAATCATAATTAAAACCAGCACGACCATTTGATTTACCAAGTGGGGTTTTTATTTCATTTATATCATCGATTGGTATTGGTTTAATGGCTTGTTTAAGTACATCAATAACATGTGAACAATTTTGTTTACATAAAACCATTTTTATACGATATGTGTTTAATGCTATTTCAATTGAATCAAACCAAAAACGATTAGCATTTTTTAATGATATAAAATTATATATTTGTTTTGGATAATTTGACATATTATCAATTGGTTCATTGGAATTATTTGTTTGATTTATTGTATTAATAAGATAGCTTTTTAGATGAACATAAATTAATGCATTTAATTTTTCTAAACAACTTATTATTGGTCGATCAACAAATGTTATTAAACCAAGTGTTGATAAATATTTTAATACTTCCATTATACAATATAAATAATGATGTCGAACAACAAGTGGATAACGCATTTCAGTTGGAAGATCTCGTACAAATATATAACGTTTTGTTGGATGTAAAAGTAATTCCATAAGACCAGGAACTTTATATGATAAATAAACAATAGCAAGAAATATTGATACAGGCATACACATAATAAAATCATCTAAATATAGGCAACCGGGAGATATTGAACGACCACGAGTATCTAATGGTGGTACAAATGTTTTTCAATTAGTACCTTGGTTTGATCCAATATAACGACGAGTATTTGAAATAGAATCGAGGATTGATTGTACTTCAGGATTATTAGATAAAAGTGGTTGAATCCATATCAATAGTAGACTAAAAATATAGAAATAGATGTTTTAGTGGATGCAGAGTTCGTCGAGTTAGTCACCGAATGGAAAAAAGTATTTTATGTCTTCCAGACGACTTGAATTGAGTAAGTTTTCGAAAAATTGGAAGTTTAATTAGTGTACGTATGCGAAAATTTGCATAATTTTCATGGTTTTGAGCTAAAAATTTCTTCTCAAAATTATTTTGGTTTTCTGAAAAGCTTCTTTAAATTAAAAGTTATGAAAATATATGGGACACGATGAATTTCAGTTATGACTCACTTGTCGATTTGGATCTTCTCTATTCATCCACACTCGAAATCAGACTCAAGTGTCGGGAGCTCATCTGCTTGTGTTACTTAAAGGGGTAATCTTTTTTGTGATAGACTCCTCGTTCGACCCTTTAGAAATTAGCATATTTTACATCACTTTTCGCAATTCTTCTTTTTATTTATCAAGCTTTTTACATTGGACTTTGTGAGTGATTTCATCAGTTTTCCTCTTAATTATACAAGACTTCAAACTAGAAGGATCGTAGACTTAACTATTCTTGTTACCCCATACAACCCGATGGGACCCACCGGTGGGTCCCACTGTGTATTTCATATCTTAATCTCTAAATGCGTTTTATTAAAAAAACAGGATATACCATAAGATGCAGCTTTCAAAGAAAGTAAAACTCTGTGTGACTAGTTTTCGAGGTTGTGAAACAATCATTGTTTTCTACACGAATGTGAAATTTCATTTTTCTTATTTCGTATTTTTATTACCTAATGTGACTTCGTAAGGAAAAATAAAATATACCACAAGATGCAGCGTGAAAAGCTCTACAATCTGCACCGTAAAACCTATTTCAATTATGTACAAATCTCGACGTAAAATACTATAGTCTCGAAGCGACCTCAAAAATTGGTCGCACACAGTTTTGCGTTTTCTTGAAAATAAAAAGTACACAATTGAAGTAGGTTTTACGGTGTAGATTGTAGAGCTTTTCACGCTGCATCTTGTAGTGTATTTTGTTTTCTAATAAAAGGTATTTCGAAATCTGATTTTCTATGAAAATCGAATCGTAGCGAAAGGGTTAATCAATAAGAGAGAAGTTGGCGCAACTCCTTTGAAATTTCGTGCATGTAATCGTCTTCTGTATCTAAAAGAAGTATTGCTATAGTTTATTTTTCAAGAAAAGCAATGTTATCTTCTATGAGATCAAAAGCTCAAGAACACTTGTACATGATTAAGAGAAATACTAGCAAAATCACTCACAAAGCCTAATGCAAAAAGGCGTGATAAAAAGCGAATTTTCAAAGTGACATAGACTGTTTCGTTTTAATGAAAGGTGCAAGTTTGAAGAAAATTGAACAAGAAACCTATCACAATTGTTATACGTTTTTTTTTCATGCGATTTGTTCTTCAAAGTATGATGCTCTTAACTAACGAGGGAACATTTCTAACTTTCATGTCATTGTTAATTTGGGAGTATCGCAATTCGACTGGTCATGATACATAAATGAAAAATTTGTTTTAATTTGATTTTCTGGTTTTTTGCTTGGCAAATTATGGACATTTTATTCGATTTTTAAGTAAAAATTTAATGCATAAATAGGTCTTAAAGTCATTAGAAGACCTTCAAAGTCTGATCTAGGACAAACATATCCTTATTGAGATATAAGCTTTTCATGAAAATGTCTTTCTTTAAAATATCTTCTTAAGAAAGCATTTTTTCGTTTTTCTCCAGTGAATTTTTAGCAAAAATCTTTTAATTGTCTTCCTGAGTTTATCAACCACCAATCCCGTTGACCTTGGGACGTTCAACGAACATCATTGTGAATGTATGAATATTCGTATCAAGATTTAATGTTAATTTTAGGCTAAGATTTTAATTTTATTCATACTTCAATTGTTTCATTATCGACTTTTCCTTCATAACCATAGTAAATAAAAAAGAAATTTATGTAAAATAGTACATCGTTGAAATTTATAAACATGACTATAATAATTTCCAAAGCTAGTTATATTTTCTAATGGTTTCTTTTTTAATAAAACTATTTTTTCTTCTTCTAATCCATTATTAAATAAATGATCAATCGTTGTTTTGAGTTCATCATCAAATGATTTATCATCTTTTATAGTTTGATCTTGTCGATCAATTGTTGTATTTGATAATTGTTTACGTGATATTTGTTTAGATTTATTTGCTGGTGTTTTTTTGTTGTTGTTGATGGTACTTCAATTGTATCTTATGATAATTCTATTTTAAATTGTTGTATACGTTCACAATTTGGTGTTATATCATTGGTATTCATGGCTAAACAAACAATTGTTTGTGATTGTTTAATACGTGCTGTAAGAAGAAATAAAAATTTATGAACTTTTTCAAGTTCATCAAGTAATTTGTCTAATATTTTACGGTTAAACCTTCATCACGTTCACTTAACATAATAGCAGTACATAAATCTATTAATGTACATATAGGATGTTCATTCATATAGGAACATATTAAATCAAGACGATGTTCACGTTTAATATTAATACGTTTAACTGGATTAACTTGTGTTTTGGATTTCTTTTTTGGAGGTTCTGTTAGTACAGATTAAATTGATGGACGCCATAATATTTCCGATAAAACAAGATGCGATAACAATGGTTCATTATGAAGATGTTCAGCATCGATTGGTTCACATTTAATAAATGACGCTGAATTTGATGATGGAACTGTCAATGATGGTGGATTTTCCACTAGAAAAAGAGAAATCGAAAAAACACGATCTAAAATATGTGCTGAAGCATACGAATCAACATAGAATAAAGCAATACAAGGGACGGGCGGGAGAGGGGCGAAGGGCGCCCCCATTATAGACACAAACAACCAGAATTAAATAATGGATATTTATAACAGTCTGGTTTGTCATTTAATTCACTGCTTATAATAATAATTATAAACAAATGAAGAAAAAAAAACTACTCAAATGAAAAATAACGAGTGAATAGCAACAATGAAAAAACTGAAAAATAAAGCACTCGTAAAAGAGATTTTAGTTCAAATTATAGAAATAAAAAAGATATGTTTGCTGACAATTGATCATTATGTGAAAATGGACTTTCATCTTTTAGAAGTTTTATACTTTGTGTATTTTCTACAAGTATAATGAAACTAAAAAAGACATGTGAGTTCCACATTTCAGCCCCAAAAGGACTGGACCAACAAACGTTTTCAGCTGCTTTAAGAATATCTGTTTTCCAGATTTTTTTCCTAGATAAATTTGCCTTTCTATAATGTTCATGCTAGTTTAAACGTTGTCCCCACATACATACATATATTTAGTGTTGATGAATAAACATAAAACAACGGAATTTAGTTGAAAAAATAACACGGCGAACAAAATGAAGAAAAATACTGTATGTGTACGAAAGGTTCATAGAAAATCAAAGTAGAATATATAGTAACTATGTGACAGCTTGATAATTTATTGAGCTACAATAATTTTCATTATAGATTAGTCATATGAAAGAGAGTCTGACGACCAGCACTAGCATTCAAGGAATTTTTTAAACGAAGTCTCTTCGAATGTCATGAAACTCTAAGGAATTCTAAGATTTATTGAAAGTTTGAATTTCAGAAATCCTGACTTCTGCCATTCTTCATTTAGCATAGATCATTGATCAAGAGCCAACGTCACACACGCATGACTGTGACTATGACTCGTGATCACTTTGTAAATCTATAATGTTTACTAATAGTACGTACCCTCAGCTCGATGACTCATCGAATCAATAGCAAATCTTCACGGATTGGTACTTGCATTTTTGACATGGGCCCGATATAAGTTTGATCACATATTGTAGAGAAAATTTTTCTCTATCGAACTGTGTTCTTGGTTTTTTTTTTAAAAATGGCAAGTAATGAGACTTAACTCAATAAAAGAAAATACACCA